TATATATTTTTTGATTTGATTATATAAATACATTTATATAATTTGATTTAATTAATTTATATTTATATATAAAAATAAAAATATTTATTTTAATTATGAAATAATTATCTTATTTATAATTATAAGATATAATTTAATTTAAAATTTTTAGATTTTAGACAAATAAAAAAATATTTACTAGATAATTCTGAAACTTTTTTATTATTATAATATATTAAATATAAACTTAAAAAAAAAAAAAATATTTTTTTTTATAAATAAATAATTTATTTTAATTTGTGAAAAAAAAAAAAAAAAAATATTTATATCATATTAAATAAATAAAAATGGGATGTGTTTAATCTGGATAATCCATATTACTACCTTAAGGAAATAAAATAATAATATTAGGATAATAAAAAAGTGGAAAAACATCATTATTATATTAAATAACTAAACAAATTTAAGCACCAGCAATACCAACAATAGGACATAATTGTGAGTTTTTAACAATAAATAAAGTAAAATATGCTTTGTATGATATTGGAGGATAATAAATTGTTAATTTAAATAAAATTTAGCATTTACTATTAAAATCTATTGGAATAGTTTATGTAGTTGACTCTACTGATGAGTAAGCTTTTTAGTAATATTTAAAATTATTTGAATAAATATAAAATATTTCTTATTTATAAGATTTACCTTTTGCTATATGTTTGAATATGTAAGATAAAAAAGACGAAATAATTGTTGATGAAATAACTTTAAAATAATTTCTAAAATTAGATGAAATTGGAAAAAAATATGAAATATTTAAGCTTTCTATAAAAGAATAGATGAATTTACTTTAGCCTTTCGAATGGATAGCTAATATATAATAAAAGGTTTGAAAAAAAATTTTTAAAAAGTTTTATAATTTTGCTTTAAAATGCATAAGTAATTACTAAACTATAAAAATAAATATATATTTTATAAAATTTTATATAAAAATAAAGATTTATTTTTATATTTATATTTTGCAAATTTGGTATTTGAATTTTTAAATAATTAAATTTAAATAAGTTATATAATTATTTATATATCTAAACAAATAATATCTATTTATTTGTAAAATAATCAAATTTGTTCATAAAAATTATAGTTTTAAGTTTCATCAATTAAAATTTCACATTTATGACATATTTATTAAATAAAAGAAGTATCATTTACAAAACCTTATAATTCATTTTATTTAAATATTTCAGTACTAATATCTAAAAAGCTTTAAATTATATCTGGAACTACTTTAATATGAACATCTGTACTATTTAATAAATAAGGATTACTATTCATTTCTATTAAACTTACATTAGAATTTTAATCTATCATAAAATCTGCTCCAAACATATGAAATTGATTATAAAGGTTATATTTTTCTTGAAAAATTGCCTATATTGAAAAACTACTTATAGCTTTAATTTAATTATAAACATCATTTAATTTTTCTTTAGTATTTTCCTCATATATTTAAAAATAAAATATAAACAAAATAAATAAATAATATAGATATACTTTTAAAAAAACTCTTCGAAATCTTCTAATAATAATGGACACTGTCTTTAATTATTAATAATTTAGGATTTTATTTTTTAAGTCATGTAGTTTGTTAAATGCACACTAATAGTCTTCATTTTATAATCAAATCGATTAAACTTAATCTCACATACCCTTTTCTATATATAACAATTAATGGTTTTATATTAACCATCATTGGAAACATTCTAAAATCGAATTTTTTTTTATTTATGAGGAATGGATTTTTATATATATTTTTATAAAAGAACATAATTATCGACCAAATTCTATTTATATTACACAACTTCTTTTTAATTTAAAATAAAAGAAAGTCCTTCTTGGTAACTTTAGAATAATTGAATCCCTTTTCCTCCATATCCACCTGAAGGTTTATAGATATATATTTATTTTTAAATTTAATTTTCGGAAAGAGAATTAATACTTTTAACTAAAATAGGAGGTTTAATAGAAATATCAAAAAAATAAGTTTCTTGTATATAATTATAAATATTAAAAGAATAAGTTTATTTTTGTTTTTAATTTAAATTATTAACTAGTTTATCTATAAGATCTTAAAAATTATATTTAGTTTGTGAAAACCAACCTTCTTTACTTCCCCAAACTGCTACTTTTTTAAACCGATGCCTAGGGATGTTTTTCGAAAAATAAATATCACCTATATTAACAAGTGTTTACAGTTATTTTTACTATTAAAGGATTGGAAAATATTCATTTTAACGGTTTTAGAAATAACTATAAAAATTTAATAAATTCTAAAAATTTTCTATTACAACCTTTTTTATACGAAATTTATGATCTAATGGAGCATCTTTTATAAATTCTTTTTATATTTATTTATTTTTTTATGTAAATGATGTTTTTTCATATTATTTTATAATATTATTAAATGATTCTATTCTTAATGTTTTTTCGTTATTATAAGATATTTAAAATTTAAAACTATCTATTAGATTTTGAAATAAAAAGTAATAACTTTTATACAAATAGTTATCATAGTCTTTAATTTAATATTCTAAAATAGGATTTTATTTTATTGATATTAGGTATACTATTTCATCATCACCAATTATAAATTTAAAATTAAATAATGAATATCTATTTTTAATTTGGTTTTGTTCAAGTTTTACAAAAAATAATGCTTCTAAACAATAATTTATTATATATTTCATTTTTTGAATAATTAATTAATCTATATATTTTTCTTCAATCAATTTTAAATGAGAAAGATATTTTAAACTATCTTTAATTTAATTTGTTTTTATATCATTTTATAATATTATTGCATGAAGTGTATCAATATTATAAATTATATTTTTAGATATTACTGATATGGGAAAAATAATTTCAATTTTTTATTTTTCTTAATAAAGTTTTGGATTTTAAACATATTTTTATAAAAAAAAATAATATTTATCTTTATTTTTAATATTAATTTATAGTTAATTTATAATTTATGATATTTTATTAGTTCCATATATAATTTGTTTTTAAGTAATTTCGCCTGTATAAATATTTTCGATTCCACATATAAAAAGCTCATTTTTATTATATTATTTTTTCTATATCAATTCTTTATAGTCATCTTAATTAATTGCTTTGTTTAAATTTAAACTCATAAAAAATATTCTTGGAATAAATTTTTTGTACGAAATTATATTAAATATATCTGTCAAATCATATGTAATTAATGTTTTTAATAAATTTACTTTCCCATTTAATAAACAACTTATATAATTATAAATT